TAAGGGTGTTCGGCATCTTGTGCTTACTTCCTTGCATATGACTTGATTTATTTTCTGGTGCTTTTACTTCCTGAGACAGTTGTAAGCACTGAGTAACTGCCTCGAGGGTGCTTGACCAATTAACCACAACGTGGTGCAATCATCCCCCTTGCGCGGAGTGAGGGTTCTCCACCCCGCACAACATGATCTACTCGACCACCATTATGGTTACCGCCAAAAAAAAAGAGGTAAAAAAAAAACGGTAACCGGGTTGCCGAGTTTACGAGGCTTGTTTTACAACGTCGTTGCCAAGCGACGAAAACCCAACCCCGATGGCAAACACCGGGGGGCCGGGGGGGGAGATAACCGGAAGGTGAAAGATAACGTTTCCACGGCTCTCACACCAGCGCACAGCAGGTGTATAGTATCAAGTATGTGGTGTTTGCACTCTGTTTCCGCCCGTGTATGCACACGTCTGACGACAGCTAGTATATTTAGCATCGATCGCGCTAACCGGCTGACCAATGAAAAGACACCAGTCTCAAGTGCGGTTGAAAGCAAAAAATGATCACATGTGTTTTATGTGTGTTTTCATCTTGTTGAAATAATCAATGCCAGGGTTCTACCACGAGAGCGCCAAGATCTCGCCTGACAATTGAAAACCACATCTGTTTGCGTTTTATCAAACACTTGGAAATCTGTCGTCAATGTCAGGGTTTTACCATAAGAGCGCTAAGATCCTCTTCTTGGGGCTCGACAACGCGGGAAAGACAACCCTCCTGCACATGTTGAAGGAGAACAGGGTACAGGTGCACCAGCCCACGCTGCACCCGAACCAGGACGAGCTCATCGTGGGGAAGGTGTGGTCGTGTTGTTCGCTTTTTGTCATTGGCGTCGGCCGGCCGCGCTAACCGGCTAACCAATGAAGCGACGCCAGTCTTGTAGGTGGCGGGATGGAAAACACGATCGACGTTTTCTCTGTGTGTGCGTGTCTTTGTCATAGGCAAAGGGCTGCGCTAGCCCGCTGACCGCCATTGTGCATGTGTGCGCGCTTGTTCGTCTCCTTTCTGTTGCTAGTCGACACACCTCTCGTTATGTTTACGTGTGACATGTCAGCAGGAATCACACATGAGGGAGGTTAGGCACAACTAGAACAGAGACGGATCAGAGCAGGAGACCCCTGGGGGGGGGGGGGG